GGCATCTATGAACAACTTATATCTAACATCAAACTTAATGGTGAAGGATTGAATCCTGTCCCATAAGATCAGGAACAAGACGAGAATGTCCGCTCTCACCACATTTATTCGGCTCTGTACTGGAGGTTCTGGCCGGAGCAATAAGGAAAGAATATGAAATAAGAGGCATCCAGTCTAGAAAGAAAAAAGTAAAACTATCTCTATTTGCAGATGACATGATCTTCTATAGAAATTTCTAAGGATTCCACTAAAAAAATTATTAGAACTAATAAGCCAGTTTAGCAAGTTTCAAGATCAATATATATAAACAAATTGTTTTTCTATATCCTAGCAATGAACAATCTAAAAATAAAATCAAGAAAACCATTTACAATATCAAAAGAATATGTAGGAATAAGGTTAACAAAACAAAGTACAGAACTTAAACTCTGAAAACTAAAAAATTGTTAAAAGAAAGTAAAGATCTAAATAAATGGAAAGACATCCCATGTTCATGGATTGGAAGATTAAACGTTACTAAGACGCCAAGAGTCCCCAAACTGATTCACAGATTCAACACAATCCCTACCAAAATGCCAGCTAGGTACTCTGCAAAAATTGAAAAACTGATCCTAAAATTCATATAGAAAGTTAAGGAACTTGGGATGGCCAAAACTATCTTGAATGAAAAATAACACTTCTCAATTTTAAAACTTGCAGTGCCCTGGACAGTGTGTCTCAGTTGGTTGGACCATTGTCCTGTAGAACAAAAGGCCGCAGGTTCAATTCCTGGTCAGGGCATGTAGCCAGGTTGAGGGTTGGATCCCCTGTAGGGGCACATCTGAGAAGGCAATCAATCGATGTTTCTCTGTTTCTCTGTCTCTCTCTCTCGCTCCCCCCTCGCCCTCCTTCTCCTAAAAGCAATTTTTTTAAGTCCTCAGGTAAGAATTATTAAAAAAAAGATTATGTTAAAAAAAAAACTTCCAGTAATCAAGACTGGGTGGCCCTGGCTGGTGTGGCTCAGTGAACTGAGTGCCAGCCTACAAACCAAAAGGTCACTGGTTCGATTCCCAGTCAAGGCACATGCCCAGGCTGCAGGCCAGGTTCCCAGATGAGAGGCGTACAAGAGGCAACCTACTGATGTTTCTCTCACACATCAATGTTTCTCTTTCTCCCTCCCTCCCCCTCTTTCTAAAAATAAATAACATCTCTAAAAAAAAAAAAAAGACTCTGTGGTACTGGAAAGAACACAAGCACCCCTGTGTTCATTGCAGTGCTATTTACAATCACCAAGATATGGAAGCAGGCTGAGTGTCCATCAGTAGATGAGTGGAGAAAACAACTATGGGGCATTTACACAATGGAATGCTACTCAGCCGTAAAAAAGTCAAGAAAACTTTACCCTCTGTAACAGATGGATGGACCTGGAGAACACTGTGCTAAGTGAAATAAGCCAGTCGGAGTAAGACAAATACCATATGATCTCACTCGTACGTGGAGTCTAATGAACACACTGAACTAACAAGGAAAGTAGAGACAGACTCATGGATAGAGAGCAGGAAGACAGCTAGTGGGGGAGGAGAGGGGAAGGGGGTGGAGGGGTTGAAAAGGGAAAAAGGACTCGGACAGGACAACAGTGTGGTGACTGCTGGGGGCAGGGGTACTAGGGACTAAATTGCAATGGAAAAAATTCTATTTTAAAAAGCCCATGCGGTACTGGTATGAGGACAGACACACATCAATGGACAGAATTTAGAGGTAAGAAATAAACCTTCACATTTACAGTGATTTTTGACAAGGGCTCCTGTACAACTCTGCTGGGAAGAGCAGCCTTCTCGACAGAGGGCGCGGGAACAACTGGACATCCACATGCAACACAAGGGAGCTGGACTCCTCCCTCAAGCCCTGCACAACGATTACCGCAAAATAGATCACGAACCTAAACATACAAGGTAAAACTTTTAAAATTCCTCTAAGAATATACAGGCATCGATTTCACATCCTTGGAACACAATGGTTTCTTAAAGCACGCACAACAAAAGGAAGGATAAACTGGACTTCATCAGCATTACAAACTTCTGTGTTCCAAAGGATATCAGCAAGAAAGTAAAAAGAATCCACAGAGCCCTGACCAGTGCGGCTCAGCTGGTTGGGTGTTGTCCTGCAAACCAAAGGATAGGGGTTCGATTCCTGGTCAGGGCACATGCCTGGGCTGAGGGTTTGGTTCCTGGTTAGGACGTGTAGGAGAGGCAACTGATCGATATGTTTCTCTCTCACATTGATGTTTCTCTCTGCCTGTTCCTCCCTCCGTTCCCCCCCCCAAATAAATAAATAAATAATAAAACCTTTAAAAATAAAAAGGAATCCACAGAATGGGAAAAAATATTTGCAAACCACATATCTGATAAGGAACTTGTATCCAGAATTTATATAAGAACCCTTATAACTCAAAAACAAAAAGATCAATGACCCAATTAAAAATGAGCAAAGGATTTGAATAGACAGTTTCTCCAGAGAAGACATACCCATGGCTACTGGCGGCATGAAAAGATGCTCAGTGTCATTCATCGTTAGGGACGTGCCAACCGAAACCACCATCAGGTACCCCTGCCCACCCGCCAGGACGGCTACAATGAAGGCAGACCACAGGTTGTTGGCGAGGAAGTAGCAAAGCTGAAAACTTCACATGTTGCTGATGGGAATGTAAAGCGATGTAGCCGTTTTGGAAAGCAGTCTGGAGCTGCCTCAAACGGCTAAACACGGAGTTACCACAGGAGCCAGAAGTTAGGCTCCTCAGTCTATACCCAAGAGAAGCAAAACAAAGATAGCCATGTAAATACTTGCACACAAATGCTCATAGCAGCATCATTCATAATAACCAAAAAATGGAAATATCCCCTATGTCCACTAATTGATGAATGGATAAATTAAATGTGGTATATTCATGTAATAGAATATTATTTGGCAAGAAAAAGGAGCAAAGGACTGATATATGCCACACCGTGAATTAACCTTGAAGACACTATGCTAAGTGAAAGAAGCCAGACACAAAGACCGCGTCAGAAACCGCCTGGGTGGTGACGGCAAGATGCAGTGTGCAGATGTGCCGCAAAGCTGTGCACTTGAAATCTGCATGGTTTTATTAACCATATAATGTCACCCCAATAAATTCAATGAAAACACTTCAATTAATAAAAATATATTAAGTTCATGAAAAAAAAACTACACCAGAGGCCAGAATTCATCTATTAGATTGGCGAAGATCCCCAAATTCTATGGCAACCATGTTGGTGAGAGTGTGGTAAACGGGGTGGTGTGGGGTGAGGGTCCATCAGCACAGCCTCCCTGAAGGATGATCTGGCAAAATGCACACCCAAATGACAACTGCACCCACCCGAAGACCCGGGACTTGGGCTTAATCCTAAGGGCGTTCTCACCCGTGAACACTAAGCATATGACTGGGGTTACTCGTCGAAGAATTGTCTACCACAAGCAGAGACTGGAGACAACCAAAGTATCCCTCGCCAATGAAATGAAGCAGGTTCTCCATCCACACCACAGCACTACACAACCATGAAGAAGAAAGAAGCAGCACGGAATGGTCTCCAAGGTTCACTGTCAAGGGGACGCAGGTGTAGAATGGGGTCTGCCATGTGCTACCATTTTTTAAAATTTTCTGACATAAATGCTTATATACACCTGGATCTCCCTCGAAGAACACAGCAGAAACTCCTCTCTGTGGATGCCTCTAGCAAGGAGACTGGGGTGCAAGAGAGACTTACTTTCCCCTGTGTTCTTTTGTCCTGTTTGAATTATTTTTTTACTGTGTGTGTATTAATGGATTTTCTTCCCTTTTTAAGAAAAAATACAGGCTTACCTGGTTTCAAATCCTGGCTCGCTCTCTCATGGTGGGGCAGTTACTTCTCTTCTCTGAGCCTGAGTTCTGCAAAGGGAGGGGTAATAAGAACGTAGACCTTGCAAGGCTGCTGTGGAGGATTCAATAAGACGTCACAGGCCCAGGGCCTCCCACGGAGTGTGGCTCCTGGTGAGAGCACGGTCCTAGTTGGTTATTCATATGGTATTACATACACCAAGGGGGACTGTGACAGGTGCCACAAGACAGTCTCAGACCAAGTGTTCAGAGCACCAGCAATTCCCTCCAAAACTGGGAAGGCTTCCTGGAAGAGGCAGCCTCAAGGACAAGGTGTTCCATAAGTACAGAGAACGACTGGGTATGGTGCTCCAGGCAAAGGGCCTAGAAGTAGAAAAGCTCTGGATATTCGCTCAGTCACTGTGCACTGATTGGCTCTTTCAATGAAGCTTAGCTGAGCACCTACTACGTGCCTTTCCTGTAGGAAAGGCCAACAAAAGACGGAATGATTGGATCAGCCAAGGGAAAAACTAACAAAGTGCAGTGACAGGGACAATGAGGGCAGATAGTGTCTAGGGCCTCTGCCAGGCCCAAGTGCTCACAGAGAAAAAGGAGGCTCAGAGAGGGAGAATTGCTGCCTGAGGTCACACAGCAGGTTCCCAACCTCTGAAAACAGCCTCTCTCGGCTCTGCCCTCTCCTAGTCCCAAAGGCCAGAGAACAGGAAGCCCGTGGGGGCCCTCCCGATGTGCACCCAGCGGAAGGTAGGTACAGATGCTGTCTAAACTGGGCACCCACGAAGCGGAAGGACGATTGGTCCTCAGATGATAACAACGCCTCACTGATGAGCAGAGACTCCTGTGAGCCAGGCGCCACTCGAAGAAGTGCACACCATGCATGAGCCCAGGTGACCCCACTGCAGCCCTAGGTGGACGGCCCCACTTTGCAGATGACACAGGTGAGACACACAGAGGTCCAGCTGCTTGCCTAAGGTCACCCAGTTCAAAAGAGACACCACCACCAGGCAGGCCCAGATTGTCTGGGCTTCAAAGCCTTGTGCCCCAGGGCCCATCCCCCAAGGGAGCCACTGGCAAGACCTGTATCAGAGATCACACCCTGCTCCGAAGGGCCCACGGTGCAAGGTGTCCTTAGCTAGTCCAGGAATGTCTCCTGATACCAACGGCCTGAGAGGAGTGGGAAGAGTGGGCGGTGGAGGTTGTGGCAGGAATGTATGGGGGGGGGGCGAGGAGGCGGTGGGGATGGACACGGCCCATTGGCAGCCATTATTCTGCCTCTGGAGAGGGGAGCAGAAAGGCCCCATCAGGAACCTTCCTGAGCCAGGTGGGGAATGGCATCACCAGGTAGACTGGTGATGGTTGGGGGGTCCCTGCTGTGACCCATGGGAGGAGTCTGGGAAAGTCAACCAAAACCTCCTTCAGTAATGTGGAGTCGCCCACAGTCATACCTGGGCAGCTGCAAAGGCCAACGAGCTCACCCATATGTGAAGTCCTGGACTCCAAGGCCATGCTTGATAAATGGACCCTTACTATTGCTGCTAACAGCAGTATTTCTATTGTCACTGGTCAGCTCTCCAGTTCCCACCAGGACAATCAGTCCCATCTTTCAGAGGAGGGGACAGAAAGAGGCTCCAGAAAGTCAAGTCAGGTGCCCGGGACACGATCCAAGACAGCAGGAAGCCAGCTGGGAATCCCGGCCCTGCTGGCCCCGGGCAACTGGCAGCCCCTCTCCTCAAGGCCACCAGTCCCCCAGGCTCTCACTGGGTGTTCTTACACCAGGGACTACTACACAGGGCCCCGTGGCCAGTGCATTTTCCATACAGAGAAATGGAGGCCAGGCCAGGAAGAGTGGCTGGCCCCAGGCCACTGAGCCCAAGAAGGACTACTTACAGAGTAAACACAAACCTCTCTATACCTCCAAGACTGAGTCCACCGCTGATGTCCCACCCTTCCTCACCACAGCCAGGGAGAGGGCACTGCCCCATGGACCCATTTCACAGATGGGGGCTGTGCCCCTTTCTTGCCTGCCCTGTGACCTCCCATACTCGAAGGGATGCTTCCCATGGGCAAAGATCTTCACCCGATTCCATTTTTCTTCCTTCAGACTTTCAAAAGAATTACTTCCTCAACTGGGGTGTTTTTTCTACAGGTGACTTTTCGGAGGGAGGATTCTATTGACAGGTCAGAGAAGAGCCAGGGGTAAGGGTGCCTCCCTCCCATGCACCCACCCAGGAGCATCCTTCCCTCCGCAGGAAGCAGGAAGCCCAGGAGGCTGCTGGACCCCAGCAGTCTTGGAGGCGGGCAGGCATCCTGGCCCGAGGGCAGGCCGCGGTAGGGGGCGCCCTCCTGCTCCAGCTGGGTGTTGATGTCCGTGAGCTGCCGGTCCTCCAGGCTCTGCTGCAGAGTGTCGGCTCGAACAACACTCAGCTGGGCTTCAGTGCTGCTGACCAGCGTGTGGCTCTGTGCCAGCTGGGCTCCAGAGCGAGCCTCCGTTTCCACCAGCGTGCCTTCCAGGGCGGCTTTCGGGCTGAGCGGGGACCGTGGCTCCATCTCCAGCCCCTGCAGGCCGTGGTACAGGTCAGTGACCTCTGTCTTGCTGATTTTCAGCTGCTCCACGTGGCCAGCAACCTTCCGGTTCAGCACCTCAGTCTGGCCAGTGACCCAGGCCTCGGTGTCCTCTGGCTCTTCTCAGCTATGACCTCATGTTGGCTCCTCTGGTCACTCAGAACCTTGACTAGGTCAATGCCAGGAGCAGAATCCCCCTCCACACGGACCTGGCCCTTCATGGCACTAATGTCCTCCTTGTGGTTCTTCTTCAAGTAGGCCACCTCCTCGTTCAGGCCAGGGGCTGTCGAACCCTCGGCCCGTGGGCTGCATGTGACCCAGGACGCGGCCCAACACAAAATCGTAAACTTACTTAAAGCATTCCTTAGTTTTATTACTAAGTTTTCTACTAAGTTTTATTACTTAGATATGTACATTTTCTGTATTAGTGATCACAAACTTGGGAGCTACTGGATGATTTTAAAAGATTATCAAAAGGGCCGCTGCATAATTAGGGTTACAATGTGAGGACTTGCACAGATCTCTTTTTCTTTTGCTCATCTGTTTTCGTTAGTCTTTGTGTATTTAATGTGTGGCCCAAGACAGCTCTTCTTCCTGTGTGGCCCAGGGACATCAAAAAGTAGGACCCGCCGCCGCCTCAGGCCTTCTACCTGCATCTCCAGAGCGGCTCTGGCCGGGGTTGGCTCTCTGCGGAGGCCCTCAGGGTCAGTGTCAACCTCCACGCTCATGCACAGGGCCTGCTGCGTCTCGAACATGGCTGGGAAGTCGTCTGCAGCCAGACGGGCACTGTCGATCTGCTGGACAACCTTGGCATTCTCAGCGATGACAAGAATCTTGTCCCACAGCTCCTCAATGGCCTGGCAGTAGTGGCCATAGTTGCAGCTGGCCCAGGGCCCCTGCTTCTGGTACCAATCATGGATCTTTACCTCCAGGTCCCCGCTGGCCACCACCAGGCCACAAACCTTCTCCAGGTTAGGAGGCCAGGCGGTCATTGAGGTTCTGCATGGTCACCTTCTCGTTGCCCTGCAGAAGCCGTCAGACCCAGCCAGGGCATCCACATAACTGCCACTGTGGCCCCCAGAGGGGGACGAAGCGGGTGGAGGGCACCGACACACCACAGCCACCCAAGCCCCGTGGATGCGGGGTGCGCAGCTGGTGCCTCCTGCTCCGAAGCCCACAGTGTTGCCACCCAGGCCCTGGAGGAGGAGGAGGCCGACGACCGGTGATAGCTGTAGGAAGTCACAGCAAAAGAGGACGCGATGACACGAGTCGAAGGAGCTGTGGCCAGCAGGAGTCTGCAGGTGGCTTTTAATGTAGAAAGGACCCCTGCTCAAAGTGGGGGGGGGGGTGTAAATAATGACAGGACTAATAGCTAATGTTCATTTAGCATCTCCGTTTTACAGATGGGGAAAACTGAAGCAATGACGGGTTAAAGGATGTGGTTAAAACCCCACCTCTTAGCAGCTGAATGACCAGTCCCTCCCACTCTGAGTGTCTCCCTGTAAGAGGCGCCCCTGGAAGAAGCCTGATGCTGGGCTTTTTTTGGTAGGGTCCAGGGCCAACTTAGTCCCCTTCCCCAGATCCAGTGCTGTCCGCTGCTCCAGTGTGGGCTGGCGGGGTGGAATGGGGCGGGCTGATGAGGGTGTCGAGACTCACACTTCCCCCCTCCCGTCCTCCTACCTGGGCTCTAGGCCACCCCTTCGCTGCTCCCAACAACCCTGGAGCACGCCATGGCCACGCTCACTTTACACTGAGGACAAGGGGGCTCCAGGGACTGCCGCAGCCCGGTGGCAGAGATCGAGGGTGCCAACCCAGATCCCAGTGATGCCAAAGCCCATCCTCTCTCCACTGCATCTGCAAGGAGGCGTGGGAAGGGCAAGCCAGGAGGTGGGCACAGCACATACAAAGACCCCGAGGTGGGAAAGTCAGGTGTTCAGGGAGTTAGCAAGTGAGAGAACTGGACTAAGCGGGCCCCAGCCCTACCAGGTCGCTGCTGGCCTTTGGAACAGGCGTGAGGAGGTCTGAGAGGGGTGTGCCCAGCTCCAGGCCACATAGCAAGGCAAAGGCCAGCCCTCCAGTGAGGGTGTGGGTGCTAAGACTAAAGATAAGATCTTGGAACACCAGGCTCAAGAGTGCTGGGCTGAGATGGAGCTGGAAGAGGAGGTGCTGGACCCAAACCCAGAGGCCAGGCAGGCGGGTCTCAGGGACCAAGCCAGGTACCACCTGGCCTGGCCTGGCCTGGCCTGACCAGGGCAGCCCACCACAGCGCTGCATGGCAGGCCTCCACCAGGAGGACAACTCATGCCTCCTCTCGGGCCTTGGCAGCTGCACCTGGACAGACAGAGGTCCTGGCGTGCTAAGGACTCCTTAGCAGACGCCCAATATCAGGGGGTGACCACAGGGAAAAATGAGGTAACTAGTTTTGTTCTCTCCCAGCCTCACCAAAGTCATCTCTCCCGGGTCCTCCCAGCTGCCACGCCCCCACTAGCTGATGGCTGGTGGGCCTTGTGGGGACAGTCACCAGCCAGCCCCTGCCCACAGTGCCCGCTGTTTTGTGCCAGCAGCTCTGGCTGCGTCTCTGCTCTGAGAACACAGTGCCCTCTCCTCCTCACCCACACGCACACGGCAACTCCCTTCAGGGCCACTGGTAGGCAGGAGCACCTGGGGGCCAGGCCCCTCCGCACAATCGGCCTGAGCTCAACCTCCCCTCCCCCGTGCTTAAAGCCCACAGGGGCCCTGGATGCGTAATCTTGGGAAAATCCAGCCTTCCCTTTATGCGTCCATGTAAGGGGGTCTCTGGCAGATCTATGAAGCAGAGAGCATCTGAGCCTGAGGTTGGGGACAGTGGTCGGCAAGATGGCCAAAGCCATTACAGCTCCTGCCTGCTTGCTGTTCACAAGGTCAAGGACAAGGATGAAGGAGGAGTGCTGCATGCTCTCTCTTCCCTACCCTCTGACCTTCCCTTCAACTCATAATCACCCTCCAGCCTCCAGATCTTGGCACAAGCTAATTCCTCCCCCGCCCGGGTGTCCCCACCACCCGTGAGCCCCACTGCACCTACTGTTGGACCTCGGGCGACACCTGACCTTGCCCTCCCTCCAGCTGAGACAAGCGCCCCTTTTCTTCTGGGTTCTCACAGCCCCCACCACCTGAGGATTAAAAGCAGAACTGCCTAGGTTCAAAACCCAGCTCTGGCCCTTTCTAGCTGTGTGGCCTTGGGGACGTTCTCTCACCTCTCTGTGCCTCCATGTCATAAAAATAATAACCTACCCCCAAGGACTGTCGTGAGGTATAAATGAGTTCATATTCGTGAAACACTTATGTGCCCTTATCTTTTAGATTTACACCTGAAATATGACATGTGGGATTTGCTTTAAAAGGACACAGGAGTGGGGGCGTGGGGCAGAACCAGTGCGGATGGGGCAGACGGACCAGGGGTCGGTGGTATTTGGGGCTCAGTGATGGGTTGGTGGGGGATCATCACACTGATATGCCTCCATAATAGTTTTTAAAAGATGATTAAATGAAATAACACAAAAACAATGCCCCAGCCTGGGCAAATCAGTGTCGGCCCCTCCCCTTGCTGGACTAAAGCAGCAATCCACCTGCCCCCGCCCCCGCCCCGCCCCCCAGTCTGTTCTCCACCGGCAGCCAGATGTGCAGGGAGCCCTCCCATGGCCCCATCTCACTCAGGGTTAAAGGCCAACATCAGAATTTTCCAGAGGCCCTCCCTAGTTGGCCCCTCCATTTTTCTGCCCCTTTCTCCCTCCATTCTGTTCCTCACTCATTGTTCCCCTGGCCCCCTGGATTCCTACACTCCAGCCACCCACCTACCTCAGGGCCTTGGAACAGGCCGTTCCCTCTCCCTGCACTCCCTTCCCGCGGGGAGCAACAAGTCTGCCTCCGGACCTCGGATGGGAGCTTCCCGGAGGCATCTTTCTTCTCAGCCGCCCTAATCACAGCCCATCCTCCGAGCCCTAGTCAGCATTCCAACCGTCCCTGGTTCACACCTGATCTGTGGCACTTGCCATCCTCTTACAGGCCATGTGCAGCTTCCTTACTTGTTGTGTTTCTGTCTCCCCACCTAGAATGTCAGCTCTGCAAGAGCAGGGGCTTTTGTCTGGTTGGTTCTTTGCTGTACCTTCAGCCTCTAGAACAGGAGTGTCCGACCCACGGCCCATGGGCCACATGTGGCCCAGTGCCAAATCGTAAATTCCCTTAAAACATTATGAGATTTTTGTGTGATTCAATGTGGCCCAAGACAACTCTTCTTCCAGTGTGGCCCAGAGACGCCAAAAGGTGGGACGCCCTGCTCTAGGGCATTATCCAGCACATGGCCGTGCTCAGTGCACATGTGTGGGAAGGAGGGAGGGAGCAGAGGGTGTGGGGAAGGACAGAGGGATGGAGGGATGGAGGGATGGAGGGATGGGTCCCACCCACCCACAGAATGAAGAGGTCCAGGTCTCGGACCTGCATCTGTCCAGCCCCGCCCCAGCCTATGCCCCAACCACTGTGCTTGCCTGCCACTGCTTGGCATGTTTGGTGGCAGAACCCCTGACCACGCTCACAAACACAGACAGAGCAGTGTGCCCGTCTGCAATGACTCCAGGCCCGAGCCCTGCCTGGCAGGAGCTGGGACACAGACCAGGGACCAGGGGATGTTTGGTGAATGAGCAAGGATGAGTGATGAGCGAGCCAGGACCATCTGTGGGCCAGAACGTGTCTGGTCCCATGTTCACGCTGCAGGCACTCTAGGGGCTGGTAGGCCTCAAACCGGCTCTGCCAGTGTGGCTGCGGCAGGGCAGGACGCTGCAGGCTCCAGCTGGCACTGGCAGAGAGAAGGAGGGTGTGCCACGGACCAGACCTACAGCCTCTAGGGAGGGCAAAAGCTAAGCAAGTGGACCGTGGAGCTCCCACCAATTCCAGCCCCTGAAACCTCTTAGGTGTCTTCCGGGACAGGAATGGAACTCCCTTCGAGTCCTCAAGTCCTGGCTTGCACAGTAGAGGGCAGGATCCCTTCCCTCCAGGAACCAGCCACAGTCTGGAAGCCTTAGAGGGCAGGGCAGGGCAGGGCCCAGAAGTGGGGGCGCTGGAGCTGCACAAAGCAGCGGGAGGCCTGGTGAAAAACCCTGCTCTGTCCCGAGTGCTGCGTAGCCTTGAGCCAACCCTGTGCCCTTTTGGACTCAGTCTCCCCATGTGGAAAGTGGTGTTCCAGGGACCTTCAATCCCAGGGTGCTCAGTTATCTACAAGAGGCCACTCGGCCTCCCCAGCCCTGCCCCAGAGCCCAGCCCCAGAGCCCAGCAATGGGCAGGGCCAGAGACCAGACTCACACGCTGGTCCTCACTCCCCACAGAGACAGCAATAGTACCTGATCACCAAACACTTGTAATCCTGGCATCAGGGTCAGTGCTTTGCATGCACTGCTTCATCCGGTCTCCCCTGCAGTGCTGTGAGGTAGGGACTGTTACTCAGTTTTCTCATCTGTGAAATGGGAAGGATCCTGCCAGTTTCATCCAAGGTGTACCACTGCTCAAAGCCGTGGGAGCTGGAGGACTCAGTCCAGCCCTCAGGACACAGTGGAGAAGCTGGGGGCCTGCGTGCCTCTGAATGGACCAGGGGCACAGGAAGAAATCATGAGCCCGAAGCCCACGGTGCTCTGTGGCAGGGCCTCAGCCCCTCATTACCGACAGCCCGAGAGGAAGGATGATCCTCCCATCTCCCACGGAACCCAGACCCGAGCCCTGTCAGTCCCAACTTCAAACATATCCCGAATCCCCGTGCTTCTCTCCCACCATGGCCACCCCCTAGTCTAGGCCCAGCCTCTTCCTCCAGGCTGGACAACTGGGTCAGAGAGTCTTCCTGAAATGCCAGTGTGAACCCACGACTGCTGTTTAATTTGCCTCACAGCCCCGACACTCCAACTAAGAACAAAGTCCTCTCAGGGGCCTCCAAGGCCATGCAATGGACTCTACGAACCCCACCCCCTTCACTCATTCTGCTTCCATACCAGCCACTTGCCCTTTGCCTGAGGATCCAGCTCACCCCTGCCTCAGGGCCTTTGTACTTGCCATTTCCTCCACCCAGGGCACACTTCCTCTGGGTATCTGTACACCTAGTCCCTCACGCCTACTCAGAGAGGCCTTTCCTGACCACCTGTTTAAGTGGCAACACACCCAGACAGCTCTGCTCTAAGTTCGCACTTTAAAAGCTACCTTCTCACAGAAGGCCTTTTGGACTGTCCCCAGCCCAAGGGAGAACCTTCAACTTCTCCTTCCCAGCACCAACACAGCTCTGACACATAACTCACTGTATGAGTACATGTCTGATGAGGACACCCCTGTGTGGTGGCCCTCACTTCTGTCCTGCTCACAGATGAATACTTTGTAGTGGGTGTAATATTCAACAGAGTTAACAGCTGGGACGCTTGGGTACCATCTGGTCAGAATGGACACCAGCCAAGAACACAGCGCCTAGCATGGAGTGAGTACTTGGTAATTAATTAATGAATGAATGAACAAATGGATGGGTGGACAGATGGGTGGGTGGACAGCTAGGTGGGTCAGTGGGTGGATGGGTAGATAGATGGACATACAGGTGGTGGATAGATGAATGGGTGGATGGTAGATAGATGGGTGGATGGTGGATGGATGGGTGGGTGGGTGAGTGGGTGGTGGATGAACATACAGGTGGTGGATGGATGAATGGGTGGATGGTAGATAGATGGGTGGGTGGATAAAGAACAGGGAACATAATGGCCTGAGACTTTCCAGAGATGCCCGTGGCCCTGAGAAGATGACCCAGCGAAGGGAATGGCCTTCCCAAGTTCACCAGCCTGAACAGCTGTAGCCAGCCTGGCCACTCCCCCTGCACAACCCAACTTTCATTTCCCATCCCCTCAGTCTGAGGAAGCTCCTTCCCCAGGGAGAACTGGGTGAGGAGGAGGGGCAGGCGGCCCTCTAGTCCCAAAGGGGGAACTAGGAGGGGGGCGACCAGGCTCCATCTGTCCCACCACAAAGGGGCTTTGTCCTCAGTGCTGAGAGCCTGGGGCAGACAGGAAGCCGCCCTCAGCTGCCTGGCAAGTCGCAGAACCCCCAACAAGCTGGACAGACAGTTCCAAATCCCGATCACAGGAGCAGGCACAGTACTAGGCACGGTTCTCTAAAATCCCAATGATCCTCCCTGGGAGCCCTAGGAACGAGGCTCTGGGGTGACCCCACTTCTGCAGATGGGGAAACTGAGGCTCCAAAGGGCAAAGGTACTTGGCCAAGATCTCCCAGCCAGCAGAGAACAAACCTGGGATTCAAATCCAGGCCCACCTGGCGCCAAAGTCTTCAACTATAGCTCTCATCTCGCCTTGTCTGGATACAAACCTTCCAGGTTCAAGAGGGTAGAGGGGCCTTTCTGGAGGCAAGAGTGGGCAACCATGCCTAGCTCTTCACCCTAACGGGGG